TTCGAAACGGGGGAATAGTAGATAATGTTAAAAGGTTGAAGACAACACGGCCAAAAAGGTTGGAGTAATAATAATTTCGTCGATTTTTTTTGTGCCCTGCCTTGAATAGACATTGGAATTCTTCCTAAAGAATCCCAAAACAAACATGTTGCCATCGACCATTGACTAGTGTCATAATCACATGACACTCATTGTAATAATCCCAGTTCTCAAAAATTAACCTTGAGGGTTAATATTGAATTTCATAGTTCTTGTATCATCAATTAATAATTTGAAAACTTATGTATGATTCAAGGAAGTAATAAAACCATGTTCCAAATTTTAAGTTGGAATATATTTGACTCTGTAGTTTATCGAACGTACGTTGGAATAGCCGTAGGGGTGGGCAAAATACTGAGAAAAAAAATACAGAGATAGACATAACTCATAATTGAGATATTGAACTAGCTTGGTCGGTGTTGAAAATTTAAAAGATTTATTGAAAAATAAAAACAAAAACCAAAGTTCCTCATACTAATTGATTAAGGCACTTAAAATAGGAAAACGAGAATACATTAAAAAAAAGGAAAATTTTCCACCATAATTCGGCCAGATAATAGACTTCGACTTCGGAGCCACCACCATTCTTCCCAATTCCATAACGACGCCTAAAATCTTCATCATCTGCAATTACTTCAAGTTGAACCTTTCTAACTTTTCCGCTTTCAACATTGTAATAGATCATGTAAAAAGATCCAAGGTCACGTGACAGAAACCTTGATGCAATAATAATTTCCCCCATCTTGTTGATGCCTGGAAAATACACGTCTATTCCTCCTCCTCTTAAAGAATCCCACCAAGATCTCTGTAACGAACATGACGTCTTCGACCATTGATGTTCCTTGACATCTTCTAATACCCATAAATCAAAATGATCTTGACTTCTCTGCTTATCAACGATAGCTAACTTTCCTTTGTAGTTTATCATGAAGAAATCGAAGATATTCGTCCAAGGTGGTATGATAAAACTTGACCTCTCTAATCTAACATCAAAACAAACTGTCGCATCATTCGCTTTAGTATTATGTAAATTTTTAGTGTAAGCACGGTAATATACAACCCCATTGAAGCATATTCCATTACTAAAAGGCCAACTCAAGGTAGTGCCTTCATTAACCGAATTGCATTCCTTCATTTCCCTTCCTCCCCGACCTCTCTATACAACATTTACTTATTATATATACACAATTCTAAATAAGACTACTGTTTTGACAAAAAAATAAAAATAAAATAAGGCTTCTTTGCAATTAAACCTGAATCAAGAAGTAACATGAATAGTAATTTGTACCGAAAATATCGACGTGGAGGGGTTAATAGGTTAATGGCACAGTTGTTATTAACCAGGGATATTAAGGTATTAATTAGTTAATGTCAAGAAGAAAGGACTAAAACTTACGCTATGGGGGAACATTTTACATTTTGAATATTCAATCCGGACGTAAAATTTATTATTAACCAAAATTCACTGTCAAGATAATTATAGTATTTTATATTTTACTTTCTAAAACAAATAAAAAAAAAACTATTAATTTCTCTTCTTTTTTTTTTGGTGAAAATTATTAATTTCTCTTTG